CCCCCCCGCCCCCAGCCCCTGCGCTCACCCGCTGCCCGCAGGGCGACTCCGGGGGCCCGCTGGTGTGCCAGAAGGACGGCGCCTGGACCCTGGTGGGCATCGTCTCCTGGGGCAGCAGCACCTGCGACCCCAACGTGCCCGGCGTCTACGCCCGCGTCACCATGCTCCGCAACTGGATCAACTCCATCCTGGCGGCCAACTGAGGCCGGCAATAAACGCTGCCACCCCCACCGCGCTGCCTCCTCGCTGCGGCACCGGCATGGGCGGGAGGGGGGTCGCGGGGCAGCCGGACGGCTGGGGGACACGTGGCTGGGGACGGGGGCACGCGGTGGGCTTGGGGACGCTTCTCCGGGCATGGGGACCCCTGGCCGGCACGGCTGGAGGCATGGGGACACCTGGCTGGGCACGGGGCCCCCTGGCCGGGAAGGCTGGGGGCACGGGGACGTGTGGCCTCCCGTGTGGTCAGGGAGCCCTGTCCAGGTGCGGGGACACGTGGCCGAGTGCAGGGGCAGGGACCAGGCACGGGCACACCTGGGTGGGCTTAGGGACCCCTGGCCAAGGAGGGCAGGAGGCCTGGGGACACGTGGCCTCCTCTGGGGACACGGGACCAAGGCAGGGGTACGTGGGCAGGTGCAGGGACACCTGAGCAGGCGCGGGGACACCCGGCTGCACACCAGGCGTGGGGACAGGAGGCCAGGTGTGGGAGCATGTGGCCTCCTACGGGGACACCTGGCCGGGGAGGGTGGCACCTGGCCAGGCACGGGGGCACGTGGCCTGGGGTGGGGACACCTGGGTGGACATGTGGGGATGCGGCCGGGTATGGTGGCACCTGGTCAGCTGTGGGGACACCCGCCCGGGCATGGGGACTCCCGGCATGGGTGCTGGAGGCACAGGGCCCCCCGGCTGGGAGGGGCCCCGTGTCCCAGCCCCACGGCCCCGTCAGCTGGAGCCACCTTAACGTGACGGCGGCTGTGGCAGGCGGCGGGAGGGGACAAAGGGAAGGGCCAGCGGGGCAGGGGGAGGGCAGCGTCCTGATCCTGATCCTGGCCCTGGCCGGGCGCTGGCTGTCCCCACCATGGCTCTGCGGCGGGTGCTGGGGCTGGGGGGGGCCCTGGGGCAACGGAGCTGCTGCTCCAAGGTGGGGCTGCATGGGGGCACGCGGGTAACATGGGGCACGGAAGGACGGGGGGGGGGGCACGG